AGAGATTGGTGCCCCCAAAACTCAAGCCACACTGAAACATCAGCTGGTTAAAGTGGGTGGCCTTAGAGACCCAAAGTGCTTCCCAGCTACAGAACTACCTAGCAGACTTGTTACAATGCCTTTTTTCCCCCTCCCAAAATCTAATCCTGCCTGGCCTGGAACTTAACCATGTAGACTAGGCTGGCCTCAAAGTCAAGGAGATCCACCTGCCTCTGCCTCCCAAATGCTAGTAGTAAAGGTGTGTGCCACCATGCCCGGGCCCCCAAGTGCTAATTTTTAATAAGGGCTTCTGACTCACTGTCTGAGTGAGGTGTGTTTTAAGCATGCTCCTTCTTACACAAAAGGAAAGTTGAAAAACCTATGGCTTAGGGATAGACTAGATGTTTCTTAACCCCCAAAGGCGTTTGTGGCTAAGGGATTTTAGGTTATCTGGCTGGGTATGTTTCAGGCTGGCAGACATGACGGGCCAGGACTGCTAGTGAGGAAGAAGCATTTACTCTATTGTGGTACCCTTTCTGGTCCATCATCAGTTCCCAATGAGGCCCTTCCCTCATGCAGATGGCAGATGGTACCTTCTTCAATACAGTGCAGAGTTTCTAAGTATTGTTCACTAGAGCTCTGTCTCCTGCCCTCCAGCTCCAAAGCACAGAGGGAAGATTTTGTTATTGTTGTTATTCTGTGTCCTTCTATGAACTCATTTTCTTTTTTTTTTTTTTTTTTTGGTGTTTCGAGACAGGGTTTCTCTGTGTAGCTTTGCGCCTTTCCTGGGACTCACTTGGTAGCCCAGGCTGGCCTCGAACTCACAGAGATCCACCTGCCTCTGCCTCCCGAGTGCTGGGATCAAAGGTGTGCGCCACCACCGCCCGGCTGAACTCATTTTCTAATAAGGAAAAAGTAGCCAGGTGTGGTAGAACACGCCTGCAATCCCACCCCTCAGGAAGCCGGAGTAGGGCTGAGAGTTCACCATCTGGGCTATAGGTGGAGACCCTGCCCCAAAGAAACAAAAACAAACGGATTTCATAATGGTGGTGAAACTCAAGTCAGGATTACGGTTTAGAGACATCATATAGTCAATAAATTTGTATGAAATAGCGAAAGAACAAAGGAGGGAATTTGCTGTTAGGCCCTCGACCAGAAGTCAAGAACCAGTCTTGTCTTGCCTTCATGGTGCCAGCATTTACTGCACCTGAGCAGCCAGCACTACTTTGGTTAAGAAGAGAAAGCAATGAACAAACTAAACAAAAATCCTTGCCCTTACAGAAAGGATACCGTGCTGGGGAGGCAGGCACGCAAATACAATAAATAGGGAAAATGGAGGCTGCATTAATGGTGAGAGCTAATGGGGGAATTGTAGCAGGAATCTTAAAAGTTCTTATTAATAAAATCAAACCCGGGGCCAGGTATTGGGGTGAAATGCTGGATGGTCAGAGAGACAGAACAAGCCACAGCCACCTCACCTGGCCAATTTCTCAGCTGGTCTTGTTTCCTCAGACTGGAAGCCTCCGTGTCCTCATATCCGAATGGCCCTCAGCTGAACTGTGCTGCTAGAAGCCTGAAAGCTTAACCAGCCAAATGCTTCTAGTTTCTGGTCACGCCTTATATACCTTTCTGCTTTCTACCACCACTCCCTGGGATTAAAGGCTCGCTTTCTGGGATTAAAGGCATGTGTCACCATGCCTGGCCGTTTCCACTGTGGCCTTGAACTCACAGAGATCCAGAGGGATTTCTACCTCTGGAGCGCTAGGATTAAAGGCGTAAGTGCCACCATTTTCTAGCCTTTGTATCTAGTGGCTGTTCTGTCTCTGACCCCAGATAAATTTATTAGGGTGCACAATATTTTGGGGAACACAATACCACCACAGGGAATAAATGATAGCAGGCAGAGATGGAAAGTGTTGGGGGCTGGGAATAAGTGAGACTACAGGACAAGAAAGAGTTCAAGAGCTGTGCGTGACACAGGAAGTAATTCAACTTTTCAACCTCAATTTTTCCAAATTGCAAAATATTATAGTGTTTTCTTGAGGAGGCTCTGATCTTTGTAACATAGTTTTTGTTTTGTTTTGTTTTTCGCTGACACAGGGTCTTCACATGGCCATCTGGCTGTCCTGGAATTTAACAGGCAGACCAGGCTAGCCTTGAACCCACAGAGATCTGACTGCCTCTGGGAGTGCTGGGATCAAAGGTGCTCATCTCCACACCTGATCCTTTGTCATTTTTAAGCTATGGGACTGTGTTGTTGTTTTCCATCCATCCATCCATCCATCCATCCATCCATCCATCCGTGTGGAGGGGTAGAAGTCAAAGAACAACTTTCGAGGGTTGGTTTTCTCCTTCTACCACGTGGGGCCCAGGAATCCTACTCAGGTTTTCAAGCTGGGCAACAAGTGCCACGTTAACATGTGGCTCTCTCACTGGACCCTGGATTTCTGAATATTGACAGTCTAAATTTACACTATTCTGAACTATCTATCAACTAGGTCCTTTTGGAATTTTATTCCTGGGCATTGTTCACTTACAGCAAGAATGCTAAGCCAGTTTGACCAGAAATTCCCCTTACTCCAGGTATTTCCTTAGGAGTTGAGATGTACTTCTCTCCCTCTCATACAATCTCACTACAGCACTGTGATGTACATCTGGCTCCACAGTTTCCTTGAATAAAGCATTACTGTTCTCCAAGGTAAATGTCACCAACACTTTTTCAAATGCTACCCGAGTTTCTTATCATCTCATATCCTCAGTTTCCTTATCTAAAAACTGAAAATGTTTGCCTAAATTATTTTACAGGGTTTTGGAAAATATCAGATGAGCTCATGAAGATACGTGAAAACAGGCTGGCGTCTGGTGGCGAGTTCCTGCACGTAGAGGGCAGAGACAGGAGAATCACTGCAAGTTCCAGGCCAGCCTGGGTCAAACGATCCTGTCTCAAAAGAAAAAAAAAAGTGAAGATATTTAAAAATGTATAGTCTATTGTGTAAAAGTTAAGATGAGTTCAAGGCCCTCCTGGTCTACAGAGCGAGTTCCAGGACAGTCACCATAGCTACACAGAGAAACCCTGTCTCGGAAAAACCAAAAAAAAAAGAAAAGATAGAAAGAAAAAGTAAAGAAAGCATGCACAGGTATTTTTCAGGCTGCAAATCTCGTGCTAATGGTCAGAAGACCCCTAGGACTTAAGTGAACAATGAATTAGAGTAACTGTTCATGTTGGTTCCCCTGCATTGGCAGGGAAAAGGCCTATGCAAATTCTCAGGATGTACTCAGTAGACAGTCAATCTTATCTGAGATCAGGGATAAAACAATCAAACTTTCAAATGTTCCTAAGTGGACACCTCATAAAATATTATATGGCATTTGCCAGATCTTTAAATGTTTAACAACTCTGTTATGTTTGTGTTTGTTTTCTTTTCAGACTTCTGTTCCGGGAAAAGACTAGATAGACAGAAAGGAGTTATTAAAAAAGAAGAAGAAGGAGGAGGAGGAGGAAAGAAGAAAGAAGAAGAAGAAGAAGAAAAGAAGAAAAGAAGAAGAAGAAGAAGAAGAAGAAGAAGAAGAAGAAGAAGAAGAAGAAGAAGAAGAAGAAGAAGGAAAGAAGAAAGGAAGGAAGGAAGGAAGGAAGGAAGGAAGGAAGGAAGGAAGGAAGGAGGAAGGAAGGAAAAGAACCACCATTGAAATCACTAAGGACAGACAGTTAATCTTCCGGCTATTTTTGCTAATGTTCAAGAAACATTAATTGAAGTGGGTAATGGTTACACACATAGGCTACTGTGTATTCCTAGGTGTTGAAGGGTCTGATTTTTGAGACATGTACCCCAGACTGGCTTGGAACTCACTGTATGTCCAATCTGGCCTCAATCTCAAGTCCATCCTCCTTCCTCAGCCTCCCAAACTCTGGGATTATAAGCATGTTGTACTCAGTGTGGCTGTTGGTATATTTTTCAGCTCTAACTATTTGATTGTAGCATAAAGATGCTAAACTTTTGGTGTTTTTTTTTTAATTTTTTTTCGAGACAGGGTCTCACTATGTAGCTTTGGCTGTTCTGGAACTCACTATGTAGAACAGGCTGGCCTTAAAACTCATGGAGATATGCCTGCCTCTGCCTCCCAGTGCTGGGATTAAAGATGTGTACCACTATGCCAAGCCTTAAATATTCTTTTTAAATTGACAAACAGTATATAGTAATTATTGGTTAAGGAACACTCAGCTTGTTTCATCACTGTTTATTTATTTATTTATTCATTCATTCATTCATTTGAGACAAGGTTTTTCTGTGAAATAGCCCTGGCTGTCCTGGAACTTGATTTGTAGATCAAGCTGGCCTCAAACTCACAGAGATCCGCCGGCCTCTGACTCTCGAGGGCTGGGATTAAAGGCGTGCTCCACCAATGCCCGGCTGTTTCATCACTGGCTTAAGGTAAGATTGCTAGATCTGTTGAGTATATCAGGATGTACATCAATAAACACATTATACATGCATAGTGTAGTGTCTAGCACACAGGAGGTAACGAATGAATGAATGATTCCAATGTGAATCAGCTTACTACGAATGAGCCACTTGGATGTACAGAAGATGCTTTGGAAACACGCGGTTTCCTCTCTTGACAATGGTCATCTGGTAAATAATATTTTATGCTCATCTCTGACTGGACCAAGACATAAATCTAAATGACTGGTTGGAGTATAGCTTATCACAGAAGACTACTGATGTTTCTTAAATAAATAAGACGTACGTTGTGAGTACCAAAGTTACATCAGGACGAATACTAGGTTCGGAGGCATTAACTGGATACCTGTCAATTCACATCCACCTGTTGATCTCCACACACTCTTCTCTGAGTTAGTGGCCCGCACTCACGAAAAGCCAAATTTAAACTTCCCTTTGCAGTTTTCCTCTTCAGTGCTTCACTGTCCCAGATGCTCCCAGAGTAAGTTTCAGGACACTAACCTCGTGGTTTTTTTTTTGTGTGTGTGCATGTGACTTTAGCCCCAGTCTCAGGAGCCGGTGGGCGGGCCCAGGGAAAAGGCCTTGTGGCTGTCCCTTATTGGGGGCTGGTTGCCATGGTGTCACCGGCTTTAAAACTCCCGTGAACCACTTCCGGGACGATAAACATTGAATTACTTCCAGGGCTGCCCATACTTACTATGGCTCACTCAGCGGTCTTTTCGGTTCCACAGAAAATCAAACTTGTACGAAAAAAAAAAAAAAACCCTGGAAACGCTTCTCTAGCCCCGTAAGCCCGTGGTCATGACATACGACCGCATCTTCCCTCGATTTTAAGAACGTATTTATGATACATTCCTCCTCGGTTTAGCCAATCTCCAAAATGGCGCCGGCGGCCTCGCTGGGTCAGAGGCGAGTCACGTGGGCGCTCCCGGTTCCGGCGCGCTAGAGGCCCCGGGTGGTGAACGAGGCTCCGGCACCATGTCTGGTTTGTCTGGCCCACTCTCCCGGCCTGGCCCTCGCCCGTCCGCGCTGCTCTTCCTCTTCCTGCTGGGCCCCAGCTCGGTCGTCGCCATCTCCTTCCACCTGCCCGTGAACTCCCGCAAGTGTCTCCGCGAGGAGATCCACAAGGACCTGCTGGTGACGGGCGCCTACGAGATCACCGACCAGTCCGGGGGCGCCGGCGGCCTGCGCACCCACCTCAAGGTGCGGCCCGGGGCGGCCCGGGGCGGCGCGGGGGCGGCGCGGGAAGATGGCAGGCCTCGCGTCCGGGGGAGGCCTCGCGTCCGGGGGAGGCCGGCGGGCGGAGGCCGGGGGTTGGCTTCGTCTCCCCCACCCCCCACCCCCCCGAGCGGTGAGGACGTGCGGTGGGGACCGCCCCTTCACCCCGCGCGTTTGGGGTTCGCGGGGCGGGGCTGCGCGCCCCAAGTCTGGGCCCTCGGGAGGGCTGCGAGGCGTTGGCGGACCCCGAGTCGAGAGAGCTAGGGACCGTTTCGTCAGGGTCCCGTCTCTGCGAGGGCCCCGCGATCTTGAGCAATAACGTGATTGTCCCGAGAAATCTGTAGAGGATCAGTGGGGACTGACATCATAAGACACCTCAAAACACCTACAGGATAATGGAGACAATAAGATTGACTGTGACTAATAAAATGTGTGATTTATTAAGTATCTGCCGTGTCACTTCCTGTGCCTCGTAAAGGTGGTATATTTAGTTCAAACACCACCCGATTGGAGCAGATGGGTACCGTGGGCCTTATTATAGTAACAAGGAAACTGAGACTCAGGTAAAATGAACGTGGCTTCCAGATGGAATTGGCCCATTAAGTGTATTTAGACAGAAAAGTGCTACAATCTGCCTTGGCTTTTAATTTGTAATTTCTGGGATTTATTAGAGTCTATTATTGGACGCAAGATGGTCACAGTCTCTAGTGCCTTCTCTTAACTACAAGGGTCAGCTGGACCCTTGGATGGTGACAGTTTACATGATGCCATTTGGTCCCAGTTTTCAATGGAGTTCTGCTTGGCCAGATTCGTGATTAATAGTTGTTAATAGTCCAGTGTTGATTGTGTTCTGAGTAACTGTATTCATTCATAATAAACACTGGTAATTTTTTGTTTCTTTTTAACAGAGTGAAAATTTCACATTCTTAAGCTAAATAGAGGAAACAGTTTACTTAAGTTTTTTTTTTTTAGATTTATTTTATTTTATACATGAGTGTTTTACCTACATGTATGTATGTCTACCCTGTGGGTGCCTAGGGCTGGTGGAGGGGCGTCAGATTTCCTAGAACTGGAGTTATAAGTAGTTGTAAGCCAACCATATGGATGCTAGGAGCCCAACCTGGGTCTTCTGAAAGAGCAAGGAGTCATCTAAACCTCTGAGCCATCTCTCCAGCCTGAAACAGTTTACTTTTAACAAGCTTCAGATATATTGTTTATATTTAAGGTGTTGGATCACAGTGGTGATAATGTAACATACTTTGAGAGAGAAAAACTATTTTCAGGGCTATTGTTTTGTGACCCAGCATTTATTATCCTCTTTAAATATTGAACTGTCTACCCAGGAAAGTGGTGATGGTACATTTTAAAGACATAGATACAATGTTTGGGGTTTAGTAGCTTCTGGCTTTTCATAGTAGAAGTAGTCCCCAGAATCAAAGAACTGGATGGAGCAGTCAAAGAGGCCTTGCTCTTTAGTGTTGCTGTCTCTCCTGGAGTCCTGTGCTTGAAAACCACTCAGTGGCTCACTGTTGCCTGTCTTAGGATAATTTACATTTGCCAGCATGCTCTGTGGTGCTCCTCCTAAGTCCTGTCTTGAAGCCTCATATATTGTTAGTTTCCAGTTTGGGTTCTAACTGGGCCTTTCTGGACAGAGCTCATCATAACTACTGTTCACCTCTGTCTCCCTTAGTAGGCCAGCTAGCAGTAATGTCCTCAGGGTGGACTTGTTTACTTGTTTGTATTTCTGGGGTGTTAAGTGTTTGCCTTGCTTCTAGTAGCATTCAGTGACAACAGGACCCGTGGCAAAACCTAGAGTAATGAACATCTGACGATGCTCTAAGGCTGTTGAAGGGACATCACCAGCAGGAGTTTGTGCTTCTACTCACTAGTATTTCAGCAGCTGGGTTCTTAGTGCTAGCCAGCTTAATTGGACTGCTGGAATCCTAAATGCCGAGCATTCAGTGACAACAGGACCCGTGGCAAAACCTAGAGTAATGAACATCTGACGATGCTCTAAGGCTGTTGAAGGGACATCACCAGCAGGAGTTTGTGCTTCTACTCACTAGTATTTCAGCAGCTGGGTTCTTAGTGCTAGCCAGCTTAATTGGACTGCTGGAATCCTAAATGCCGAGTACATAATACACAGGAATGAGTGGAGCCAGGTGTTAAAAAAGAGAGGAAAACGGAGCAGCATCCAGGACGAAAGGAGTGTTACTGGATGATAAAGGAGTGTAAGGGGTGGAGACAGAATTTGGAGTGACCAGCACTCCCCTCTTTTTTTGGTTTAGGCCTCACTGGAAGCCCAGGTTGACCTGGAACCCTCTGTCCTTCTGCCTCAGCCTTGCGAGTACAGGGATCATAGCTGCGCCAGTATGCCCAGCAATACTCAGCTCCTGATGAGACTTGCCTTACAAACACATGGACCCCTTTGTTCCGTCTGGTTTTAAAAAGGAAATTGAAAACATTACAGATTTCGATGTCAAGGTCCTGCGTTTTATCACCAACCCAGGTCGTTTTGAGCAGTGTTTCGTTTTCATCCTTGTAGAAAATTTACGTCTATTACCCAGATTCTGCAACTATTCAGGACCCATACTTGTTTAATCTTCACTCTTTAAAGGGAAAAGAGTATTTTATGTTAAACTCTTCCACGCCCAGGAGACCTAGATAATAGTGTGTTCCAGTCCAGCCAACGTCAGCTTGAGTCTCTTAAAAAAAATAGGAACATGGCTACCATGTTTTATGGCCATATGACACCCTTTCAAAATTAACAATGAGCTAGGTGCAGCTGCATGTGTCTGTAGTCCTAGCTACTAAGGAGACTGAGGCAGGAGGATTAGTTGAGTCCCAAGAATTTAGAACCAGGATGAACAACATAGTGAAAAAAGACCGAGGTGAGGTCACTTGAGCCCATGAGCTGGAGACCTGTGTGGTGTAACATATTCAGTCCCCTTTCTCAAAGCAAAACATTAACATCCCATAATGTTTCCCTGATAGCACGTCATACCCAGAACGTGCTAAGATTTCATCACTTGTGGACTGGTGAGGTGGTTCAGTAGGCAAAGACTCTAGTCACGAAGCCAGAGTTCAGCCCGTGGAACCCACATGGTGGGCGGAGAGAATCAGCTCCCAAAGGTTGTCCTCCAACTTCCACGTGTACACATGAGGGGCCCTGAGACAGGCTTCTCTGCGCAGCCCTGCCTGTCCTGGAACTCGCTCTGCTGACCAGGCTGGCCTCGAACTCGGAGATCTGCCTGCCTCTGCCTTCCTAGTGCAGGGATTAAAGGCGTGTGCCTCCCCCGCCTGGGAATGTACTTTTTAATTAACAGTTCTCAGAGTACTGAATTTTTTTTTTTTTTTTTTTTTTTTTGTTTTTCGAGACAGGGTTTCTCTGTGTAGCTTTGCGCCTTTCCTGGAACTCACTTGGTAGTCCAGGCTGGCCTCGAACTCACAGAGATCCGCCTGGCTCTGCCTCCCGAGTGCTGGGATTAAAGGCGTGCGCCACCACCGCCCGGCAGTACTGAATTTTTTAAACATTTATTTTTATGTAATATATGTATTTCATATTTACTCATAAGCCCCTCGGCAGCTTGCAACTATAGTATCTATTCACTTAGTTCTGCTTCTTAAAATTGTGACTGTTCGTGCTCAGATTCTGCCTCAAGGATCCCTACAGTGCATCATTTCAGCTTCAAAAGTGTACCTTGAAAGCACATAACTCCTGCTTACACGTCATGCCACAGTACAGGTCTTTGATCAGCTATCGTCTCTTAAGTCACATACCCTTCAACTGGCTCAGGTTCAGTTTGAGTTGAGGTAGGAGAAATGAAGACTTGGTGTAGTACAGCTGGACCACTAAGCGCAGTGGTGGTGATTGCCCTGAAGGATCTTTGTGAATATATAGTGCTCGTTTTTGTTGGTTGGTTTGAAATAGGGTCTCATGTGTCCCAGATTGCCCTCAAACTTGCTTTGTAGCTGTGTGCCGCCATGACTGTTTTATGTGTTGCTAGGGATCGAACCCAAGGCCTTGTACATGCCAGGCAAGCACTCTACATCTACATCCCCATCACTTTTTGGAGTGGGATAAGAGGTAGAACTGAGGATTGAATCTAGTAGACAAGCATTTTACCATTGAGCTATGTTCTTTTTCAGGCCTCTCTTTCAGGATCCTCCTGCCTCAGCCTCCCAAGTAGTAGCAGGCCTGTGCCACCAGTTTAAGCTAGTGCTTGGGTGAATCTTAGGGATCCATCCTCCCTCCTGTCTGAGAACATCTTAATGTTCAATGAGTGCACCTAGTGCCTGTGTTATCGATGTGTGTTTTTTTTCATGTTGGCCCGCCCATCTCTTAAGATAGGCTGTAAGTTCTTTGAGTAAGCGTGTGCGTCCCATTGCAGTGCTTATGTCTAATGTAATGCCTAGCACATGGCAGAATTTAACAAAAGAAATGAGTGAACAGATGAGTGGTTGCCACGCTTTCCTCGTCTGTGATCCCTCCCTTTCTCTTCCATTCTCTCGCCTTTACTTTAGTCACACTGAATATCCTCTTTGTATAATGTTTTAAGTTGGTCCATTCTCGGCTGTGGGCACCTCCTATGTGCTTTCATTATACACTGCTTGACAGGACAGCCTCCTTAGTGTAATGTCTGCTTCCTTTTTGATCTCCGTATGTCTATCCATCCATGTCTGTCTGTCTGTCTGTCTGTCTCTCTTGCTCTCTCTCCCTCTTCCCCCCTCTCTCTCTGTGTGTGTGCACATACACACATACACACACACACACACACACACATATATATATATATATACATGCTCACCAGATGTCAACATCAGGTATCTTCCTTTATCACTATCTACCTTATTTCTTTCTTTTAAACACAACATCCCTTGCTAAACCTGGACCTCCCCAACACTAGCTAGCAAACAAACTCTAGGGATCCTGCTCCAGCCTCCCCAGAGCTGGGATTGTAGGCTTTCACTGCTGCACTTGACTT